ATGTTAAGATGAGAATCCTCAACAGTGTATGTGAGTGTCTTCGGTTGAGATTATAAAACAATATTTAGCAAACAACCATGGATTGAGAGTTAGTCCGATTTTTAAAAGTAGAAATTGATATATATTGTATAAGATACTAAATTTGAGTATCTTGATAAACACATTTTATCATAAGATCTTATACTAAGACTTCATGAACATCCACAACGAACATGAGTAAAGATTGAAGCATTTGATCTTCATAAGGTATACGATGCGTGTAATTTCCATCATGATATACATAATTTATCGTGTAATCAAGTATCTTTATCCAATAATCAGAACTCTCATTAATTGGTTGAGAGTCTGTCCATACTCTAGAATCACATGCTGATATAGGTTATATAAGACAATAAATTTGAGTGTCTTGATTGAAAAATATAAATATATTATTGATCCTAAATGGGACGTGATAAACTTTCACAATATGATTTATGGTTAGAGAATCAAAACATCATAAGTAAGTGTGTTAATTATTAAGTATTAAGAATTTTCAATATAGGCATACCATTCACTTATGAAAGCGAGAAAATAAAATACTGATAAAATCCAAATAAATTATACATATAAATAGATTATTTAATATAAATAATAAAATGTAATTCTCCTGCCAACGGGCGGGTAAAATACTTGTTTAGAATTAGGAACAATCCGCCTTGCCGTAATGCAGTTCCTAAATTGAATGCGACGCTTGCTGGGCCTTTTAGCTAGGACCCGTTTACCCTCCTTTTAGCTAGGACCCGTTTATCCTCCTAATGGGTCAGGGCCGTCAAATTAATGACAGTCGCTTCCCACATCTCTCTTGTGGGCCGGGCCGGGCCATTACGTAGCTGCTGCTGGAACCAACTCATAATCCAAAGTCATTCCTTGAATAAACCGTCTTGTCATTTGTAGCTAAATTTGATTATGTTTGTGATCTAGATAGGTTTATATCTTGAAGTGAACTTAACCTTGTTCTTTCCTATGAATAAGAGTGATTGATTGTTAAAAAAAATGTAGCTGAATTCGGCCCTGAGATTTTGGGTATGGAGCAATAGCTACAAACAGTTTCAACTATATCCGATCTTTTTTGGAGAAAAAAATCGGTCAATTTATTGACAACTTGATATTCCAAGTGCTTATCGAGTTTCAGGGGCGGAGCTACTTGGAAGATAGGGCGGGCCGGCCCCCTAGAAATTTAAGGATATTTAGATAAAATTTGAATAAGTAGAACTCGGCCAGAACATTAGTTCATACAATTATCATGTAGTCTACTGGTATCTAATCTAATTATTAGTGTAAAGCACCTAGGTTCCATTCACCACTACCTCACATTTTGCTTTATTTAGAGTGATTTCAATGATTTTTAGACTATATTGAAAGCAAGGTAGCAAAACATTTAGATGCTATTTTGAGTGATTTTTCAATGATTTCAAAGAACGTTGTATAATTTTAAAATAATTATTTTATTTTATTTTATTTATATTCAATTATTTTTGGTCCACCCGGTGTAGAAATCCTGGCTCCACCCCTCTCGAGTTCTCTACTATACATGGGCCATTGACGTCTAGGCAATATAGAAAAAGATAAAAACCGTTAGTGTACTCCAACTAAACCAAGGAAGCGGTGCAATCGAGTGATTGTGTGTTTGAGCCACGAAAAAATTTAAACAAAGCGACCTCTTTTTTTTTTTATTCCCTCTAAGATGATAGTTAAACTTGCAATTATGGGTATATGGTCGCCCCCGATCCAGTAAACACAGTGAATTTTCGCCTTGACTGAATATAACGGTGGATACAGTCTGGAGATGGTGTGTGAGAAAGGAGGAAGATGTTGAGGATTGGGGTGGAGACAATGAGAAATGGCATCCACGTGACCTAATACCTCGTGGGAGTCATGGCTGGTTGGCGCAAAATTCATTAAAAGCAAACAAAATTTGTAGTAGACATCATCGTCTCCCAACTCCCATCTGCACACTATGACCCAACAAAAATAAATACCACCCTGCCCCATGGGTCGAATGCCCTTCCAAAGTTGTGTACTTTGGCTGATGCAGTAAAACCCAGAAAAACCCCACCTTTCCTGGAGCATAATTCTCCCCACTTGCCTGGCTAACCTTTGTGGAAGAGAATGCAAACCAAACCACAGCCGTTTTTTTACTGTTCTTCTCTGCGCCCCATTCTGTAGGGTAATATATATGTTATTCTTGCCCACAAGAATGGGATGCAGGCAGGGACCAAGCACTACTGCTTACGACAGGAAGTTAATTCGAGAAATTTATTGCACTGTTTCACCTAACATTGGAGGCAGGAAGGGCGAGGATAGAATTTTGCTCGTTGTGATGCCTTTACGCTTGAATCGTCTACTATCATTAATGATCATAATGATGGTTATTCTCCTAGTTCTCGTCTAATAATTGCCTAAGCCAAGCAATGATTGATCAAGGAAGAAAGACTAAATAAGATATTTGGTAACTGCCAGTGTGGGAGTGGATAATTGTGTCGAAATTAGACGGCAGATAAATGCCGGGCACATGTATTAGTACTTGAAGTTTCATTGTTTCATTAAAACTGCAAGCTGTTACGGTACTAATTCTGAATAAAAGAACAAAACAGATATAAATGATTCGAGTGGTCGACTTTGATCTGAAGTAGCATTGTTAGATTTGGATATGGGCATGCTGCGAGGGTTGAGATGGACCGATGATTCAATACAAAGTGCTTTGTTACCCGACCCAATCTTCAACCAATTGCAAGCGATTGAGAACGATTGTGCATTTCCCTTTTCCTCTCGATTTAAATATGCAGTAGTCTTTCTGTACTATACTGCCTGCCCACAAACAAGGAAAACTGTATCCCGAGGCAATTCGCCATAATTCATTCTCAATACTATTACTCTATCACTGTATTGGAAAAAGTTGCAACGAAAAGTTGTTCGAATTCGACCGGATTATATAGAAATTAGCAAAAGCTCGTTCGCTATCGCTTCGCGTATCAGAAAAATAAATATTTTAAAAAGTAATAGTTTTAATGTTGACCCAAAAGTGAAAGTAATCTTATTTTCTTCTTAATCATTCTTTTTATAGGTTTGTTTTCTACAATAGTATATAGTTGATGAACTTTCATAAGGTAGAAGGGTCATCGAATAGATTATATATGTTTAAACTTCTTTCATGACGCCAATGTTTCAATTTGTATGGCTAGTAGTTGATCTTGCTATAACTTTTGCAGAATGAAGCAACTTTTCTGAATCTTTTTAAATTAGGTTGGATCATGGATTTAGGTTCAATTGTCTTTCTCAAACAAAAGGGAAAAGCAAAATGAAAAATACTAAAGCTAAAACTCGCTACCAACTCAAAACTCGTCAACACCACGTTCAACTCGCTTTGAATTGGTTGAACCGAGTTTTGGACAAATTCACACCCGACACAACACGCCAATTACAAATACATATAAAATTCGCTCCCGCCGAAAACCTGTAAAATCGGGTTCAATTCGCTTTGATCAGGTCGAATTAGGTTGTATACCCATGCGTTTAGACTCAATTGCCATTCTTAACCAAAAGGAAAAAGATAAAAAAAAATACTAAAGTGGATAACACTCGCTCATGACCCCAACAAAAATAAAAAGTGAAAGAAAAAACACTAAAGCAAACGAAACTCGGTCCCGATACAAAACGCGTCAACATTGAGTAGATATGGTAAGAATTTTCGGTAACGGCATTGGGTTCAATTGTGATCATGCTCAACAAAAATGAGAAAGAGAAAGAAAAAAAATACTAAAGAGGATGAAACTCGGTCGCGATACAAAACTTGTGGTAGCGGCCTTGAGCAACGATGGTGGGGAACACCTTAGGATTGACAGTATTTCAAGATGGGTTGCAGAATGGGGGAAAAGGCGATAATGTGTTCAAGTTAGGATACCCATGTGTTTGGGTACAATTGTGATCATGCTCAACAAAAAGGAAAAAAAGAAAGAAAAAAACACTAAATAGGATGAAACTTGGCCCCGATACAAAACTCATGGTAGCGGCCTTGGGAAACGGTGGTGGGGAACAACTTAGGATTCCGATGACAGTATTTTGAGATGGGCTTCAAAATGGAGGGCAAAGGCGATGATTTGTGAAAAAAAACCATAGACGAAAACGTAGCGAACAATAACTAAATACAAATGTTGTAGAATGAATATTAGGGTAAAAGAATGGCTTGTAACTTCCCTCACTTGCACTTGGAGGAGTGTGAGAGCCACTAATAAATAGTAACTCACATGTTAGGCTTTTAATATATATATATATATGGTGGCTTCTATCGTACCCCGGGTAAAATCCGGGGTATGGCGTACCTTGGGTGATCTTGACCGTACGTGCGATCTCGACGGCTGAGATTAAATTTTATTAAATGATTTGTTTTTTCAGAATTTATATTAAATAAAATTACAGGAAGACTCATAGAATTAGTTTTTCTTTCATTTTAGTCCATTGTAAACCAAATCGGGTTGGTTCTGTTTAGTTTTTGAATTGACCCAAAATCCAACCAACCTAAGAGAAAGGACACCTACCTTGCCCCACCCGCAGCCCTACCCCTCTCCTCCAAATCCCATCCTTGGACCTTCTCTCTTCTCCATATTTCTGTTCGAATTGGGAATAACCTTGTTCTTCCTCCCTACTCCTGTAAATCATCCCAGCTGTCTCAGAAAATGGCAGCGATAATTGAACCACTCTGTTTCCCCCTCTTATTCTTCTTTATTTTCCCGTTCTCGACTGTCATATTTCCCACATGTCCTATGATTCCTCCCAATCGATTTTTTGAACCCTAAACTGGCCGAATATCGCAGGTAATCTCGGCGTCAACCTGTGCAAGCATAAGCACCCCCATCCCTTTGAATGAAAACTTATTGTTGCTTGTAATCCTTCTTATAACTTGTTAGTTCTTATAACTCAGATTTATGAGTAATTCACTTGTGCAAATAGCTGGGCAGGTGGAGATGATTTCACTGGAGAAGGCAATGAAAGAGGCCATGGTTCCTTCAGGAACTGCTAGGGAGGTGTGAAAGGGATTTTGAATTGAAATTGCCGAAATTGATTTTTGAACTACAATGCTGTGATTTTGGATGGATCTCTGATATGGATGAGGTGTATTGTAGACTGATTTGGGAAGAGAGGTCTCGTTGTTTGAAGTGGAGGCTACAGCTGTGGAGTCTGTATTTCAAAAATTCTATTCCTACATTTTTTACACTGAAACCGTGGGGTTCGAACTAAACAGAGACCCCGACAGGCCCAGTTCTGCTTCTATCTTCGTGGTTAACTTTGACAAGGTAAGGGTTTTGACGAATTGTGGTGACGGTTTTATGCATTGATGATAACCGAGTTAATGTGTATCGGAATTAGGTGCTTAAGATGTCCCTTTCCAGGATCATGTGTGTTTTTGGTCCATTCTTTCAGTAGTCTTTGACATGATCTGTTGAGGAGCTTGTTTGGTGGTTTTCTTTTTCCAGGTCAGAATGGATACGAGGAACAAGGAAGTCGATCTTGATAGTTTCATGTTTAGCACAATTGATAAGTTGTCTGAAGAAGATATGAAGAAACAAGAGGGTGATTACATTTATAGGGGGAGCAACTCAAGTTTGGTTGAGCTCAGACAAATATTATTTGAATGGACGATATGTGACCTCTTTCATTTTAGTCACCACGAGAAATGACAATTTTAGCCACATTCTTCATTAGTGATGCTTTTAATCATGTTTCGGGTTCTTCCATCTTTATTGAAAAATGGTTTAAGGGTACACTTGATTGGGCTGGTTGTTGGACGATCCTCCAGCAAATTTCGACGGGTTACTTCGTGAAGATGTGATGGGAATAAGTTTCCCAAGGCAAGTAATCTGGCCAGTTTATCTCTATTTGTTTTTATGCGAATCTCAGAGGTGGCTGTTTCTGTTGCTGCTATTTTGGCTATATGTCTGCAATGTGAGATTACTGTAGCGGTTCCATTTCTATTTGGCAAACTAGCCTCTGGCTGTGTCCTTGTGTTTATTCGGCTGATTTGCTAGCCTCCCTTTAATAAATAAAAAAGCACACCAAAACTTGCAATCTATCCGCCAAATAATAAACATGTCCTTAAATCATTACCATAAAGAGGGCGTTCGTTGGAAAGGAAGAAACAAAACTAAATGCTAAAATGCAGAACACACTATGCGACTAGATATCCTTGAGCCCTGAATTCGCCTCTTCTGGGAAGCTGCTTTCCTGAATTAGCCTCTTCTGGGAACCTGCTTTCCTCTCTTGGGAAGCTATTTTGTACTCAAGTGTCTGAGCTTCAAACCTAGGCGCATTCTGATTTGCTTTCTTGAGCACCTTGTGTCTTATGTAATTGGTAGGCTCTTTGACAAGGTACAATGCCACCTGCATTCTTCTCAAATGATTGCATGGCTGTAAGGACAAAAAATATAACGTATTAATACAAAAGTTGACATAGTTTTTTTAATGTGCTCGTAGAAATAAATGGGCCTAGGTAGTAGGTTATTTCTTACCCAAATATAATAGTTATCATCCCATGTTGATCCCATCATCCACACACAAACCCAGATCCCACTATCATTCCTGTTTAGAAAGATGCATTACGTAAGACACAAATATTTTATTTTTCTAGTGAAATTATGACCAAATACACATTCTTACTTGTGTCGTTGTGTAGGAACTTCAGGAGTGGTCAAAGAAAACTCCTTAATCTGTGGTGGTGCACATGTTGATTGAACTTCCTTGTGTAAGGCATCGAACAAGTCGTTTAGAAATTCAATCTACAACGTTTAAAAAGCAACCTATGAATTACAAAATTTTGTTGGAAAATATAATGCCACATAATTGAATTTCAAACACGTGTATTGAAGTATGAATTCAATGGCACAAATTTTAACTATACCATTGTGTGAACTGCATTCGTACGGATTGCTTGGCGCTCTTTTGATGGGCATGAATCCAGAATGTGTACTTGTTTCTGGTCCATCAAAATTATAGCTAAATACCAGTGGATGCCTTCATCATTCATCATATTTTTCATGGGAAGACAAAACTTCACAGGTACGAGAAAACAATCCAATTAACTAATTAGTTTTCCGACATAATTCATTCAAGAAATTAAGCAGAAGGGCAGGCATAATTCACGCGCACATATGTTGTGAAAACCGCTAATAAATAAGCAGAAATGAGAAGGAAGAATTGTGGAGAAGTCATAACCTTTCTACAGTTATGAGCTTTTGATAGGAATTTTGTATCATATAACTCTAATGCCTTTGCAGATGTCATGCCATAATTAACGACCATATCCTGGTAGGAAAATGAAGTTAAATCATTGAACACTAATCTTGCTTAATAAACAACCAACCCTGTGTAAACTGAATTAGAATTACAAAGCAAAAGCAACACTTACCTGCAATTCCGTAGGCAGAAAGCACACTCCTCTTCCATGACCAGTATCTCTTTTAACTTCGTCCAAGGTCAAGTGGCATGCTAACGCTGTAATTACCTAAAATACAATAGAAATAAAACACCAATGATTAAAAATCGTTAAGCACGTTCAGGTCAACTAGGGGCGTTTCGCAGAAGTACTTACATCAGCATCAACGCTTGACTCGGGGCATAAGCTCCATAATGTCTGCCTGGTATATGATTTCATCATTGTTTTGACCAAAGCTTCATCAGGAGGAAGGTCTTCTGCAAATATATAGTGAGCAAAACTCACTTCTTCGTCACTGTAGTTGACGGCTGTAGGGAGCTCAAACCTTGTGGTACCCTGCAATCATGAAGAACGAACAAATAGAGGAAATAAGAAGAGGTTTTTTTGAGTTTTAGGTTTTACATTTTTAATGAAAATATATAATTAATTAAAGAAGAAATAGAAGTCAAGTGGCGGAAAAAGGAACGAAGGAAAACAACGAAAATAGTGGGCAAAAAAGAAGCATATGTACATCACTAGGATTACTTACCTTCATTGAAAATTTTTGTGCAGGCGTGAGGGGTTTGTTTTGCACACCTAGCTCATAATGGTCCAGCCCTGGTTCAGCATCAAGAACAATCACCTTCGAGTCGGGTGTAGGTGGGGGGATGACGTCTTGCATTCTTGTTTTCTTTGCAGGAGATACATAGTTCTCCAATTCCTACAATAATGAACAATCAAGTCAGAATAAGTTTTGTATAAATAACCTACTGTTAAAGCTCCTGGATGAACCATAGACTTGGCTAGAGAACGCGTTAGGCGTACAGTAGACTGGATGCTCGTCATCTTGTTCTTCTCCCTAATATAATTGTACAAAAAAAGCAACGAGAGAGTGGAATATAAGAACAAATACAACAAAATAGCTGACTAAAAAGTTAAAGAAAACACATTAGCGGATTGCAGAACTTACCCCTCCTTCCCCATAATGTTACAAACACACAATGTTGACCAAAGGGCCTCTGCGCTACTTTTAGTTGAATGAGTTTTGGGCAAGATGTTTGGCCATATTAATAGATGCGCCAGAGGGGTGTTTAACCTCGTGTATTAGGAAAACCCGTGAGATATCAATTAGAGTTTTTTTATATGTGGGAACTTCTATATCTATCCACCTCATTAAATGAACTTAATAAGGAATTAACTAGTTACGTGTGAACTTCTATATTTATCCACCTCATTAAACCAATTAGGGGCTTCATTTTAGGGTTTTAAGGTTCGAAAAGACAAGACCACGAAAGCAGATGGAAGAAGAGAAGAAGACGAATGAAAGGAGAGTTCCTTCTCTGGAAAAAGTTAAAATAGTCTAAAGGATTCTTCCACAACAGAAATGGGCCCTAATTAAACTTAAGCCCACTTAATAAATTAAGACTAAAATAATCTACAAGAATAAATGGGTTTATGCAGAATTGTGGTTTGTATGAATGTAGAGTAGAAAAGAATAGGTTGGTGATAATTTGGAGAGGATATAGTATAGAGTCGAAGAAATCACATTTTATCAATAATACAAAGGATTTTGGTTTTAACTTCTCATACTTTTCAATAAAAACCAATTCCTCCGCCGATTATTATTCAATACCACCAATCTATGCAGGCTGCCACTAAAACCCAATTTCCTTATAGCCAAACTAAAACCAACTCAATACATGGAAGACTATAAAAACCACAACTCTTAATTAGCTTTTTAAACGTTGAATTGCAATTTGCAACTGCTAATTCGGTAATTCCTCAATCCACTACCAGGCCGCCACTAGCATCCAAGTTCTCTTTAACCAAACTAAAATCAGCTCAAAATAGGGAACGTGACCAAAGCTAAGCGAGTGACGAAATGATTAGGGACTGGGACTAGGTCTCGAACATGCAAAGTTGAGTTTTGATTATCAAAACTCAAATTTTTGTGTGGGGTAGCCAATCCAAGGGGGTGCAGCTGACCTCCCTTGGTTGGTTGTGGCTCCGCCAGTTTATGAATTCACGTTTGGCCCATTTTCAACCAATCAATTAAGAGTGATCTAGGCTTCCCGCGGCAGAGCACCAAAGCTCTGTTTCTTTCTTCGTTCCAAAACCGGAAAACAGAGTAAGCAGTGAAACCCAGAAATATAAACACAAGAACAGAGTATGAATAAGAACACAAGGCAGTAGCGGAAATGTAAATGAACACATGAAATATAAAAATGAAAAACGAAGACAAAGACTCAAACTCAAGAACAAAGAAGAAATCCCGGATCCACATCCTCAACCTTCTGTACAAATAATAACTTCTTACAATGCAATGATAAAAACATCCAAATGGCCAAAGAGCTTCCCATCTATACATGGCAAACTCACAAACATGATTGAATGTTGGGAAACTCTTTAGCAACTTGGAGTTCTCCTCATTACCGTAACTTGATGCAAATAAGGTTGGAGGAAGAACTTTAAGGAATTTCAAGTTTCATTTGCTGCTTCCATGATTTTGAAGGAAGAGGGGACTACGGTTTATATAGGATGTAAGGGGATAAAATCTTATCAACATAAAATCTCCTACTGCCAATGACAAAGGGCAGAGTAAATGGTGATAGGATTTTCATATATGAATGATGCTTTTGGTGACAGGTGTGCTTCTTTGGAGGGGCCACCTGTTGCAATTGATGCTTTTGGAGTAGGTGTCCTCCATTTGAGGGACAACAGGCTTTGTTATGCGAACCAAGGAGGTTATTTAGGCCCACCAGTTTTATTTAAATAGGCCAAACGAATTCAGTCCAGCCCATGGATGTTTTGACCCAAATTGTTCTGTTAAAAACAAGGATTTAATTTCACAACTTATATACAACATCCTTTAGGTTTTTCATAGTGAAGCGCCAGCGGAGAGGCTAGTTCCTTAGTACTACTTTGGCTACTTAGGGTTATTTGGCTTGGATAATCACAAGCGCGACAATCATGGAAGACGATGAAATCGTGGAAGTGGAAAACAATGAAGATATTAACAACAGTAACGGTTCAACTATTCACAACGTTCACCAAAGTTCAGAGGTAGACGATGATGATCTTGCTGATCTCTTACTTCTACAGCAAGAAGATATCGAGAAGCTAAGATTCGCTAACACTGAAGAAGCCTATGATTTTTGGAGGAACTATGGGCTAGTCACCGGCTTTGACGTCAGGAAAGAAGATATTAGCCGAGATAAAGACAAGGTCATGATATGGCGTCGGTTTGTATGTTCTGGTCAAGGAACAAAG